GGGACCTTCAATGCTGCAGACATCTTTTGGTACTCTTCCCCAGATGTGTGTCGACACAATCCTGTCTCAGAGCTCTACGGACAATTCCTTTGACCTCATGAGTTGTTTTTTTCTCTGACATGCACTGTCAAATGTGGGAACTTATATAGACAGGTGTGTGCCTTTCCAAATCATGTCCATTCAATTGAATTTACCACAGGTGGAATTCAATCAAGTTGTAGAAACATCTCAAGGATGATCCATGCAAACAGGATGCACCTGAGCTCAATTTCGAGTCTCATAGCAAAGGGTCTGAATACTTATGTAAATAAGGTATCTGTTTTTTTTTTTTAATACATTAGCAAACATTTCTAAAAACCTTTTTTCGCTTTGTCATTATGGGGTATTGTGTATAGATTGATGAGGGGGAAATAATATTTCATCCATTTTAGAATAACGCTGTAACGTAACAAAATGTAGAAAAGGGGAAGTGGTCTGAATACTTTCCGAATGCACTGTATTTGTTGAAGAGGATGGGGCACAAGCTGCATCCCTGTCTCACCCCACGGCCCTGTGGAAAAAAATGTTTGTGTTTTTTGCCAATTTTAACTGCACACTTGTCATTTGTGTACATGGATTTTATGTCGTATGTTTTTTTATAATGTTGTATGTTCTTCCCCCAAACACCACTTTCCATCAATTTGTATAGAAGACCCTCATGCCAAATTGAGTCAAAAGCTCTTTTGTTAATTTACATATTTATTTATTATTTATTTTTTACATTTTTTTGTCATTTAGCAGACGCTCTTATCCAGAGTGCATACATTTTTTTTTTCATACTGGCCCCCCGGGGGAATCGAACCCACAAAGGTTGCAAACGCTTTGCTCTACATCCCTGCCAGCCATTCCCTCCCCTACCCTGGACAACGCTGGGTCAATTGTGCGCCGCCCCATGGGTCTCCCGGTCACGGCCGGCTACAACAGAGCCTGGATTCGAACCAGGATGCCTTAGACCACTGCCTTAGACCACTGCGCCACTCGGGAGGTGTGATAATGCAGAGGATTTTCCCAAGGTTGCTGTTGACGCCTATCCCACGGTAGTTATTGGGGTCAAATTTGTCTCCCCTTTTGTGGATTGGGGTGATCAGTCCTTAGTTCCAAATATTGGGGAAGATGCTGTAGTTGATCAAGTATATGTTTTAGCTGTTTGTTCTTTGTTATAGGGCCAAAAAGATTGGAGAAGTGGTTTATCCACACATCTCCGTTTTGGATAGATAACTCTTCGTGCTGTCGTTTGTTTAGTGTGTTCCAATTTTCCCAGAAGTGGTTAGAGTCTATGGATTCTTCAATTACATTGAACTGATTTCTGAGGTGCTGTTCCTTCTTTTTCCGTAGTGTATTTCTGTATTAGTTTAGTGATTCACCATAGTGACAGCTCAGCTTTTCTGGGTCTCTATGTTTTTGGTTGGATAGGTTTCTCAATTTCTTTCTTACGTTTTTGCATTCTTCATCAAACCATTTGTCAATGTTTTGAATTTTCTTAAGTTGTCTGCTTGACATTTTTAGATTTGATAGGGAAGCTGAAAGGTCAAATATACTATTCAGGCTTTCTACTGCCAAGTTTACACCTTCACTATTACAGTGGAATGTTTTGTCCAGGAAGTTTTCTAAAAGGGCTTTAATTTGTTGTTGCCAAAAAACAAAATTTGGGTAGTTTTCTACACTACTTTCTCCCTCCCTCCCTCCCTCCCTCCCTCCCTCCCTCCCTCCCTCCCTCTCTCTCTCTCTCTGTCTGTGTCTTCTTCTTCTTCAATGAGGTTTAACGGCGGTTGGCATCCAATTTGTTGCATTACCGCCACCTACTAGACTGGAGTTCAACTCCCTTATCTTTCCTTGAAAAATAACATAAAACAAAGCAAAGAAATATCCTACCATCTAACACTACACTCACACCTTCAACACTACAACTAATAATTAACCCCACCACTATTCTCCACTATTTAAATATACTCACTCCTACCTCATGCCCTCAACCTGAAATGATGGAACATCACCACTTAACACTCCCTGTAACTCTTCTGCTGTCAAGTCTCGCACACCCAAATATCTCTCTGCAGCTGCCACCACAACCTCAATTTTCTTCGACTTACGTTCCATCCCTGCAGTACAATTAATAACCATTGCTGTAAACGCTAAAAACCCCAATCTTACTGAAACATATATCACTTGCTTGCCTATCCCTCTGTACTGGTACATATCTCCTACTCTCACCACTCCCCCCCCCCCCCTGACCCATCTTCCTCTACTTTCTTCACTGCCTCCGCATATGACAATTTCTTCTCTACTCTTACCCTGGAAACCTCAACCTGCTTCTCTCGCACTGGACATGTCTGATCCCCAGCCCCATGGCCACCCCTACAATTAGTACATACCACCACTTTCCCCACTGCTTCACACTCCTTAGTCTCATGCCCTTCTGCACACTTCTCACACCTTGGAATCTCCCTCCTACATACTGCTGCCACGTGCCCATAAGTTTGACACCTGTAACATCGTAATGTACTCGGCACATAAGCTCGCACAGGATAACTTATATATCCTAACTTCACTTTATCAGGCAAAGACTCAACTTCAAAACGCAAAAGAACAGACAGTGACTCCTCTGTTTCCCCCCTCTCGCCACCCTGTTTACGTCGCACCAAACGACGAGCATCACACACACCGGGAATCATGCTTCAGTTGATCCACTTTTACATTCACTGCTACCCCAGTAATCACTCCTTTCAATGGCACCCTTTTCTTAAGAGCGAAACAATTCACAATTCTTTCCCTTATTTGTTTATCTCTGAGCGCCTTCTCCCTCTGCCCAACAGAAACACAAACAATTATCACTAGACCACTTCTGGTTACCCTCACCGATTCCACTATACCCAACGCTGTTTTCACCCATCTTGAAACCACAAATGGATCAGCCAAAAGGCAAGGATCCACTTTTTCCAAAAACTTCACTCCTACTGTCACAGACTCATCTTTATCCTGACCCTCTGTGCAAGCCTCTGGCTCCGAGCACTTCACCACACCTTCCACCTCCGATACTTCACCCTCTTCCATTTCTACTCCTGTCTTCAGCTCACTTTGCTTACATTTCGTACTACTCTTCTTTAACAAACCTTCTCCCTTTTTCTGCCATTTTCTACCGACTCAAACTCAGTCTTCCTCCCTCCCTCTCTTAGACCTCCTCTGCTTCTCTTTTCCCCTCCATTCCTCCTCATTCATCCAAGTATACGTCTCCTTATGATAATACTGTATTTCTCCTGACCAATATCTGTTTCTTGCCTTCTCAAAGGACTCAATTTCCCCCCTCCTTTCCCTTCCGGCGTCTATTCTATCCTCGGCCTCACAGTCCACAATGACCTCTTCATTGCTTTTCTCTTCTGATCCGCTGTCATTCTCTTCTGAATCACCATCGTCTTCCGATCACTTTCAGCGGGATTTTCTCCCAATTCCAACTGCTCCTCTTTTCGCTGAAGAAGCCATGTTGCCAAAACAGATACAATTCCCGTTTAGTCCAGGAAGACGCTATCAAAGAAAGTCTCGCGAGAGAACGTGTATTTTTTTCCTCTGTGTCTGTGCGTGCCATTTAGAGGTAATGACAATATTTCCTGTTTTTCTTTTTTTTGTCACATGATTTTGACCCCAGCAGCTGTCAAACTCAAGACTTGATCTGTGGTTGAGACTTTCCAAACATATTGCCTATTGAAGTCCACGAAATTATAGATTTGTTTATATCTAACATAATGCAATCCAAATTCAGAACTCAATGTCACACCGTCTTCATCAAAACACGAGTCAAGGACAATTTGTACTTACCACAATTAAAATAAATAACTATAATGTTTGCCCAGTTTTCGTTTTATTACTTTCTGCTTCATATCCTATTACTACTGTATCACTTTGAACATTGCTATGATGGATCCTTGGGACGTCCCTACCCTAACCCTAACTTTAACCCCTACCCTAACCCTTACCTTAACCATTTTTCATTTCAACTTCAATGTACCCCATTGAAGTTGAAATGTAAAATGGGACGTCCCAAGGATTCCGGATAGCACGGACCGTATCAGTTTATTGAGCAATATCTACCTCAACGCTCGTGGTCTGTCTGTGCAGTGACTGTGGAATAGTTCCAACTTCCTCAAACTTGTTGGTTCAGTTTCGTTTCCTTCGTATTACGCAGCTGCTGATCGACACATTTCTCAATTTTACTGGAGTCGTGTGTCTGGCTAGCATACATCTCCGGGACAAATAGTCTGGATAGACACATTGTAGGCTATTATATTGGTTTGAAAGGCGAAGAATAGAAGCAGTCAAAATGAAGAAGGTACTTCTGTTCGTGTTTACACTCTGCGCTATTGTCTCAGGTAAGTTCCCCGAATTTCCTAAATAGAATAGATTTGTTGGTCAATCTGCTACTCATCTCAAACCGAAAGTTTCCAGGTTAAGAAAACCTAAAATATTCCCCAAAATGTCATGATATGGTTTTAGATCATTACTTTGATTATATAAGAAGGGATCCACCTTTTTTTTTCTGTTTCAGAGGTTGAAAAAGCTTTATTTTCTCTGATGTTAAATTCCCTGCAAATCAATAACCATGTGTTTATTTCTGATGATTATAATATAAATAAGAGTATAATAGGCTATTTCTTTCCATATATTTTGCCATATTCCATACCCCGATCACGTTACGGAGTAGTAGCCCGTGTGTTTTGTTTTCCACGACATAGTTGAAGTATGGTCATGTGAGTTTCGATTTCTTGTCTTTAAAAATAGATCGTTATGAAAGTTCATTCTGATGATCGTTCTATTATGTTTTGGCAAAAAATTTGCCTATCTTTTACGGCCGCGTTATGACAGAGATTTCACAGAATGTACTTTTGTACAAAAAAATATATATATATAATAATAATTTTTATTATTATCATAATTTTAATACATTTGGGGGAGGGACAGAATTAGTAATCATGCATTCTGGTATGATGTTAACCATATATGTCTTAGTTGTAATCTACTTAATCGTTCACCTTTTATTATTTGATTGGCCACATATATACTGCGTTCACGTTGTAGTTGGAACTAGGAAACTCGGAAATGTCTGACTTGCTAGCTGGATGAAACGCGGCACGTGTATAACTACAACCAGTAGGCAAGTCTGACATTTCCGAGTTTCTTAGAGTTCTGAGTAGCACGTGAACGCGGCATTAAGTCAGTTGTTGTTGCGGCCTACACGGAAGGCATTTAAATATTTTATTCTGCACTTCCTGATAAACCCATACCACGTTTCAGACTACACGCTTAGAAAAAAGGGTTCCAAAAGGGTTCTTCATCAGTTCTCATGGTAGAACCCTTTTGGGTTCCAGGTAGAACCCTCGGTGGAAAGGGTTCTACATAGAACCCAAAAGGGTTCTACCTGGAACCAAAAGGATTATCCTATGGGGACAGCCGAAGAACCTGTTTAGGTTCTAGATTACACATTTCTTACTACGAGTGTAGTCACGTGTTGTAGAGCAGGGTTCATGGACTATTGACTAAAGCCAACGCCTAATTCTCCAAATCAAGATTTGAAAAAGTTACTTCACCATTAGTCCTGGTTTATGGAATCCTCAATTCAGATGATTTGATTTACACCTAATGATAATGCTGGAGAATATCTAATTAGCAAACAAGAATAAAGTTACACTTCTGGTTCTTTCTTTCTCCCCCTGAAGCTCTGTCATCTGCTCAAGAGGTCAACAAAAGATCCAAACCTTCTGCAAGCATCTTCCCCCCATCTCAGTTTGGCAGCACCGCTAAACCGTCTACCACCCCCACTACCCCAGAACCCAAGACTAATACCACCACAGCCGCTCCTACTACAACACTCACTACGACTGCAGACCCCACCACAACAGCCAATGCCACCACACCTGCCCCCACACAGCCAATGCCACCACACCTGCCCCCACCACAGCCAATGCCACCACACCTGCCCCCACCACAGCCAATGCCACCACACCTGCCCCCACCACAGCCAATGCCACCACACCTGCCCCCACCACAGCCAATGCCACCACACCTGCCCCCACAACAGCCAATGCCACCACACCTGCCCCCACAACAGCCAATGCCACCACAGCTGCTCCCACAACAGCCAATGCCACCACAGCTGCCCCCACCACTACCCCCACTCCAAAACCGGAGCCCACCCCTCCTGCTAAACTGACCGCGGGAAACTACACCCTCAAGTCGGACAAGGGTCTGTGTCTGATGGCTCAGGTGGCTCTGCAGATCAGAGTGGAAGACACTGGAAAGGTATAGCACAGTGTGCGCCTCATGACAAATACCAAGAACACCTTGGCTGATTATTTGACGGTGAAATTGGGGCCAACTAAGGCTTACTTGAAAGTGCATCATACGAGTCTTAGAAAACATTGAAAAATTCCCTGTTTCACCATAGTTATTGCATGTCTATTACATGTATCGAGCCACTGAGAAACCTTTCAGTTGATGGACTGTAGGTCCAGGATATTTTTACCATCCTCCATTTTATTGACGTGTTAGGCCATAAGCCACCTCCGTGTGTTAATGTTCCGTTTCCGCGTCATTGTGTGTGTACAACTAATGTTATCTGTTCATTTTCCAGACGGGAGTATTCATCATTCAGCCAGGGATGACCAAGGTTGAAGGGGGTTGTGAGAAATCCACGGCCAACTTAACCCTCACGTTCAAGGAGGGCTTCATCACCTTCATGTTTAATAAGGTAAGAAAGGCTTCGATTCTCCCATCATCACTATTCACTGAGGAAAGGACCCAAACACCCCAGGGTATTATTCATTAGGCACCAAACAGAAGAAGACATACTGAAACAGGGAGAGACTACCTGAACTTGTCCAATAAAGAAATTGTTCATTTTTGCTTTCCGTTGGAAAACGTTTTTACAACTGTGTGCCTTAATGAATACGATCCAGGTTTACAACGTGTTTAGAGATTAGCCTTCTGTTTGTCGGCCCTTTATTACATTTGTGGAGGTCTATAATGATTAATAGAACACTGTCTGTAAAATGTTGAATAAAGGTTATTTGTGTATGGGGATGCATGAAAATGAGGATATTCTATATGTGCCAGTGTTTTTTAAGTATTGGATCAAAGGGCCAGGAGGGTTTCCTTGCATTTGGACTGGACCTGGACAAACTCTGGGCCCTATATCTATATATGCCACATATGAAACCCAAGTTTTTCCTAGTCGGGTCAAGTGGCCCTTACGTTAGATAAAGCTCGCCTTTTCACATCACTTTCACATCCTGTGTATCGAGCACCACAGTAAACTGCACCGCCAGAGTTATGATCAATCGCCAAATTGTTTGACTGTGTTCAAAAGGGAACATTAGCTTGCAAAGGGGAACTAGTGTGACAAAATACATATTTTTACGTCTCGTTACGGAAACTTTAGCAACCTTGTGTGGGAAAAAGTGATGAATTAGTGTACTGAGTTGAATTGCAACATTGTGACCTCATTAGCTACTGTCTAGTGGAACTGTGAAATCATATTGTTATGTTGTTTTAGCATTCTATTGTTTGATATTACTAGGAGGGTCGTAAGGTACATTATGGGAGAGTAAACATTGCTTTAATGCCATTGTGACACAATGCAAACTTTTGATTCGGGTGATTCCTTGTGTGTGTGAAAAGTAAACCTTTGTCTTGTCTTTTTCAGAACACCACCCAAAACGCTGTCTATGTCGACACTGTCTCTTTCAATCTTTCCTACCCCTTAACACCTGGAGGTAAATGTATATGTCATCTGGTCACCAGGATTCTTGTACCAACCTTTCTGTCAATGCAGTGGACCACATATTAAAGGACCACAAACGTATTATCCCTAGCCAGTGTTATTCACACAGTAAATGTGTTTTCCTGTCATGGTTGACACTTTGGACTTTTTCATGGTCCCACATCAGTTGCCTGTTTGTGTTGATATGTCAGTCTCTGGAAGGGATTGTGTAAGATAAATGGTAAATATTAACACGGGTTTGCTTAACAACCAACACATCTACGGATCTTAATTTGATCACCATTTTGTTGATTAGATTTTTCCTGCAAAGCAGGAAACACAAACTTGTATTGGATTTGAGTTTTTTAAATGCTTCTAACGTTTGTAATTTACACTTTGAAATTTCAGACTTGATTTGCCCTAATGAAAAATGTATCAACCCCAACAAAAGTGTCCATTAATTATAATCCACATAATAATTCACACTTATAATAAAACACACTTATCTTTCAATAGGGAATTTACAGTAGTGCACCTGTTCCCAGAATAAACAAACACCTTTTAATGCTATGTAGACTAACAAGTGTGACTGGTTTTTTCACCAACACTTCCTTGTGGTTGGAGACGAAATGATAAATATGTGGTGGTGATGTTTGATTGGTGTTTATTTTTATGCTGCAGGGAACGGAAAAATGTCTCTACCTTACACCGCCAAAAATGGGTCACTGGATCTCTTCCTCGCTAAGGTTGGCCACTCCTACTCCTGCAAGAGCGAATCCGTTTTCATGGGAAAAGGGCTCTATCTGGATGTCACCCAGGACAGGATGCAGGCCTTCAACATCACCAAGGAATGGGACTTCGGCACATGTATGTATCCCATTACATAGCAATGATGTACTAACACGCATTGCAATGTTGAACATACTAAACTCTAGGGCAAAACGGTTAAACGTGCTCTGAAGGCTTTTTTGACGTTTTGCATTGACGGTATGTGTTTAGAGATTTTAGATTACTACAAAAACAAAACAAAACATGTTTCATCTGTTCATATCATTGTTCCTCCTTGGTCCTCAGTGGTTGATTCACCCAAACCAATCCAGACAAATAAAACCAATCCAGACAAATAAAACCAATCCAAATACTCAAACAATGAATTAATAGCTTCAGTTGCCTAGATTAGATATGTAGACTGACACGCGTATAGTTAGTGATGCAGAAAACGTCGCCTGCAGATTCCATCCAGCCTTAGCTCTGACCCTAAACCCAGTTGTTCTGCATTTCAGCTGACCCCTGCCCCGCCGACAGACCCGCTGACTACCGCGTGGCCATTGCTGTCGGGATAGTCCTCCTTATCCTGATCATCATTGTGGTGGTGGCCTATCTCCTGAGCAGACGGAAAAGAGCAGATGGCTACCAGTCCATCTGAAGAGCCACTCAGGGGGTCAAAGGGCATACTGTATCAGCTCTCAGTCTAAATCCACCCACCATCTTTGTTTTTGTCACTTGCTGTTAACTGTTAACAACTGTAACCACAACTGCTCACATCAACTAACTGTACCGCTCACACAAAAACTAACTAAATGGATGAGATGAGGGAATATTTCAGCGTTGTATACCGGTAGTTCCATTTTGTTGATTTGTACATTAATTAATTGAGGTGGATACAACTTAATGGATCAGATACTAGGATTAAAATATACTGACTTTGAATATACTCACTCTGAACTCTTGGGCTGCTGAGGATTTTGTGTACTACTGCGACATCCAGTGTTCGTCAAACCATCAACCATTGTGTCTATATTTGTGTTGCCTCTTATTGCAGAACATTCAGTGCAATATTTCACAGTGTGCCTTCTGCTATAGCTGGATTTTGAAGCTACGCCGTCTCGATTCTTTCGTATTATTCATTTCTTTGTGTTTCTACTGCCGCCCTCAACCTTTAGAACAGACTGTTAGGCTAATTGATTTCTGAATCATAAACTAGATGGGGATATTATGGGGCCTTTTTTTTTGGGTATGCCACTCGGTTAGTCAAAGGGAATGTTTCAGGTTTTAAAAGTAAAGTTTTGTAAAAGAGAGGCATGCTTTTGAATGTAAATGTCAATTTGTGTTTTAAATTACTTGTCTATTCTATTTGTGTCAAGCCTTTTGTTAATCATTATTTGTAGTTACTGTTTCCCCCATGAAGTAGTAATAATTTGGTATGTAAACATAGTGATAATTTTTTATTATTTTTATAACATATTAGTCGAATGTGACAACCGTATAAAATTGCAGGACCACGGATTGTTTAACTTCCCAACTTTGACAGTGGTCAGATAGCTTGAGGTAAAAGTTGCCTTTAACCACGGATATAGAATCAGATGACCTAAACCTGCCAATCATGAGGATGAAAAAAGGGATAAAATATTTAAGACTCTGGGGCAAATTGCACTATAAGGAATTACATTTGGGACCAGAAAGCACATTGAACAAGTTCTGTCTCATCTAAATTTGAAAACTTTTATAACATATTATTACTGTTCTATGTTGCCACAGTTACAGGTTCCTAATGTTGATTATGGCCTAGATGACAATTATTTTAGTTTCATTTAGGACAAATGTATTATGCTATGTTTACATGTAATTATGTGCCATGGTATCATCTTGAAAAAATTGTGACAAATGAAATCATCCCAAATAAAGTTTTAATAATTTGTCAATGTGGTTTTTGAGTTTATTTGGAGTATTGAATCTGGCAAAACACTAAAGATATAGGGGCTTTTAATTCAGGCATTCAAGTTATTTGGAATATATTCATTGTGGGAATGTTTTATTGTATAAACGCTGATATAGTTATTGAAGTTCATCCTATTCTCTCACCACGTAGATCAGGGATGGACAACTGGCAGCCCCGCAGCCCCACCTTTGAAGGCCCTCGGATCAATTTCCCCCTTTTTATTTTTTAGGAACTCAGTCGGGGTCTCAACTTACTGTTGCAAGTTTGAATAGTAGGATACACAAGATGCAATTTAGAAATGTGTTTGTGCATCAGCAGTATTTCTCTTGTCGTGTCCGTCACTGATAGTCACTCAATTAGCCCACGTCAGCTAACATTTTTTAGATTGCAAAGTTAGTTTAGCGGCCAGCTATCTAAACTTGTTATCAACTCCTCATGATGAGTTCAGATTTGTTGTTGCCCCCCCACCCCCATCAAAGTTGCCCATCCCACCACGTAGCCTATGACACAACACACAGATCAATATCATGGGGCAACCTGGTCTCAGAGAAAAACATATTATATTTTATAATGTGGGGAGAAGTGCGCGCCTGTACAGACATCATGGGGATATGTGATATAATGTGATATGTCCGTTTATTTTTTTATTTTTTTTATAAATTAGCAAAAATGTCTAACAACCTGTTTTCGCTTTGTCATTATGGGGTATTGTGTGTAGATTGATGAGGAAAATAAATAATTTAATCAATTTTAGAATACGGCTGTAACATAACAAAATGTGGAAAAAGTAAAGGGGTCTGAATACTTTCCGAATGCATTGTGTGATTAATTGATTAATCTTATGCTACACAAAGATAAATAACATACATTTCTCTAAATTGATCCAATAGTTTAGTGAGATGGTTGGTCCAATTTAGGTAGTCTCCTCACACGGACCTGACCCTGGCAGTCATTGTGAATGCACGTTGCGGGTTAATAAAAATGTCAACTGTTGGATATCCTAACTCTGGCTGGATTCCAATAGGAATTACACATCACTTTCCAGGTAATTTCCTAGGTTTTCCGGAAATCATTCAATCAGGATTTATTTTAAATTTTTTTAATCTGGTAATTTTGGGAAAGTTGCTGGAATTTTGCAACCCCTACTTGCAGGGCCTGATGTGGCCTGTAAACCAGGAGTTTCAGGCCACTGTTTTAGAGTAAAGCTAGGCTTTAAATAAGGCCTTATGATATATGAAAAGTATTGTCAAAAATTGTTTAATTATAATTCTAACATTCGCCTTTGAACTTACTTGGTGACTGAACGATCAACGTCTCTGTCACTAACAAATCCAGTCATGGGTGGTAACTCTACAATTCACTCGAAGGCAGGGCACACTGGGAAATTATATTGGAGGCGTGGTTTAGTGGGGGCGTTACTCAACACTTTCAAGCTGATACAGCTGAAATCTGGACCCCCTACAGGGTCACCGTGACTCTATCGGTTTGAGTAATGACTACAAAATCACTTTAAGTAACTGTACTCCGATATATGAAGTGCAATGGGTTTCCTTTAAAAGTTTTGAGTAATGACAGCACATTGGGGTTTACAGTGTATAGTGCCAGTTGTGTGCATATGGAAGAAATCCTGAGAAAATACAAGTGTAAATCTGTTGTGTCCTATGTAATGGATTATAATCCTAAATATTGATATGTTCCTCGTCTGCTCAGATAACTCAGATTGCTCTCAGTGTTTTCCACATCAGCTTTCAGTGTCTTTCTCATTAACAGCATCAGGATAGATTCTCCCACTCATCATCGACTCCCTGTTTGTGAGTTCCTTCTGTGCACGTGCCCCTCCTCTCCTCTCCTCTCCTCTCTTCCTCTCCTCTCCTCTCCTCTCATCTCCCCCTCCTCTCCTCCCCCTCTCCTCTCCTCTCCCCCTCCTCCTCCTCCTCTCCTCCCCCTTCTCCTCCCTCCTCTCCTCCCCTCCTCCTCCTCCCCCTCTCCTCTCCCCTCCCCTCCCCTCCTCTCCCCTCCTCCCCCTCATCTCCTCTCTCCTCTCCTCTCCCCTCCTCCTCCCCTCTCCTCTCCTCTCCTCCTCCCACCTCTCCTCTCCTCTCCTCTCCTCTCCTCTCCTCTCCTCTCCTCTCCTCTCCTCTCCTCTCCTCTCCTCTCCTCTCCTCTCCTCTCCTCTCCTCTCCTCTCCTCTCCTCTCCTCTCCTCTCCTCTCCTCTCCTCTCCTCTCATCATTGCAGCTGAAGGCCTGTCTGGGGATACATGTAGTGGCCAGTGTAGCATCAGTGTTCAACTTGGTCCTTTCAGTGTCAAACATTTAAAAACCTTACAACTTCCCTGATTTCTGCTGGGAAGTCACACGTCACACATCACAATGGTGTCATTCACTCAAAAAGTGTAATTGACTCATGTTGAGTATGTACAGACAGTATGTCAATGTGTTGGATATAATTATATGTAAATGCAGATGGGGGAAGGAGATGTCCAACCTGGGGATGTTGACAGAGGGCTGAGAACGTTCTATTAAATGTTACATTACATTTTTAGGGATTATAAAACAAAATACACAATGCCATGATCTTAGTCAACAGGATTTGATGTGCACTTCTTTGCTGAGTGGGTTCTGGTACAGGTTGCTCTCGCCTCTATCTCCGTCACGCTGGAAGCTACTGCTGCAAGGTGTTGCTCCCCGGCTGCCAGAAAGGTCAGTGTCAACATAGAAATATGACATGAAGAATAGACATTAGCCTTGCTGGAAAAGCTACGTTTGGTTGGAGTTTTAAAAAAACGGCTTGACCAGGTCCCGGTTTCAGTTTTGTCTGAAAACCCACAAATACTGGTCCTATATGGTGTGTCTAGATGAGTTGACTGGCCTATTTGATCAGGTATTTGAGCAGATACCAAATAGATTTGCATTAGCAGTTACTGTAGGCCTATGTTACAACTTGCTGATTAAAACCTGCTATCTGAGCGTGTGATTTCTCTTTCAGCCTGTGATCACAGTCCAAGTAACTCCTGCTCAATGAGGAAATATAATAATATAATAGTACGGTAGCCTGTAAGGTCAGATCAAGTCAAGATCCAACCAACTAATCAACCAGCAGAAACATGTCCTTTACTTCCGTTGACTGCAATATTGTATATGATTACATGTCATATCTGACTGCTAAGAGCAAAATGGTGTGTCTTTTTGAGTAATTAAAAAACGTGTATTTTTCACAAGGAAAAGTCTAATATGAGTTCACCTTTATATTCCGGTATAGTTTCAAATATGTGTTGTATGTTTTACATATCATAATAATGTTCTCTAACACTCATATCAGACATGCTAAAGTTATTGTGAACTATTACACAATATTATAATATTAAATTGAATTATACTGTATATTAAAATGTATTCATGTGTTCGTGTGGACTCGAAACATCCTGGGGTTCTAGGAATAAGATTTACGATTATGGAATAAAATGTCTTATGTTAGGCTATGTGCCTTTGCCAGGATCAAATCTGTCTTACTAGAGGGCGGACATGACGGACAATACAACTTTATCAGGACATTTAAAAGGAATTATGCAGCCTAGTCGGTTGAATTAAACTCATCTAATGCAATACGGAAACAATTGACCTTCCACATCCATAGAATTGCTGCAAAGATATCCTATAGTCTATTTAATAAACAGCCAACGCTGTAGCACATAAAAGGAGACAACTAGGCGCCCAGTAATGTGGGCTGCAAAAATAATTGCAAACAAATGAAAATAAACCCTAACAAATAACTTTTCTTAAGGTTTACTGCATAGCCTATTGCCTAGATGCATTTATGGTATACATGTATTTATATATTTATGGTGTATAGGCCAGTGGAGGCTGCTGAGGGAGGGCGGCTCATAATTATGACTGAAACAGCGCGACTGGAATGGCATCAAACCATGTATTTGATGTCCTTGATACCATTCCACATATTCTAAGAAACCTAATGTCACGTTCGTTGTATAAAGGATCGGACCAAGGTGCAGCGTGGTATGCGTACATGTTTAATTTATTAAATAAACACTTGACAAAATAACAAAAGCAACTGACCGTGAAGTTCTAAAGGCTAACGGCAACAAGCCGAAACATAAACAAGATCCCACAACGAAAGGTAGGCAAAATGGCTGCCTAAGTATGATCCCCAATCAGAGACAACGATCGACAGCTGCCTCTGATTGGGAACCACACCCGGCCAACATAGAAATAGATACACTAGAATGTATCCAAATCACACCCTGACCTAACCAAACAGAGAATACAGGTGATCTCTAAGGTCAGGGCGTGACACCTAACTAAATCTACATAAATTCCCTACAGAATAAGGCTAGGCTATTTTAATAAACTACTGATGTTGTATTCAATTATGAATTGGTTCTAAATTAATTAACTGACCTGATTTAATCAAGTTAAAATGAACCATTAAAATGTTCTGAATCTTTCCTGCAGGAATCCTGACCTTTTGAAAATTAACTCTCACCATAGGTCTCTCAGATCGAAAAAAAAGAAGAAAAAAAAAGAAAAAGCGCCACTTGCTGGAGGGAGACAGATTTTCCGCCGAGTTGGGTCTCTCTCTCTCTCTGTCTCTCTCTGTCTCTCTCTCTCTCTCTCTCCCTCTCTCTCTCTCTCTCTCTCCTCTCTCTCTCTCTCTCAATTCAATTCAATTCAATTTTAGGGCTTTATTGGCTTAGGAAACATATGTTAACATTGCCAAAGCAAGTGAAGTAGATAATAAACAATAAATATCAACAGTAAACATTACACTCAGAAGTTCCAAAAGAATAAAGACATTTCAAATGTCATATTATGTCTATATACAGTGTTGTAACAATGTGCAAATAGTTAAAGTACAAATGGGAAAATAAATAAACATAACTATGGGTTGTATTTACAGTGGTGTTTGTTCTTCACTGGTTGCCCTTTTCTTGTGGCAACAGGTCACAAATCTTGCTGCTGTGATGGCACACTGTGGTTTTTCACCCAGTAGATAAGGGAGTTTATCAAAATTGGGTTAGTTTTCAAATTCTTTGTGGATCTCTGTAATCTGAGGGAAATATATGTCTCTAATATGGTCATACATTTGGCAGGAGGTTAGGAAGTGCAGCTCAGTTTCCACCTCATTTTGTGGGCAGTGTGCACATAGCCTGTCTTCTCTTGAGAGCCAGGTCTGCCTACGGCGGCCTTCCTCAATAGCAAGGCTATGCTCACTGAGTCTGTACATAGTCAAAGCTTTCATTAAGTTTGGGTCAGTCACAGTGGTCAGGTATTCTGCCACTGTGTACTCTCTGTTTAGGGCCAAATAGCATTCTAGTTTGCTCTGTTTTTTTGTTTGTTCTTTCCAATGTGTCAAGTAATTCTCTTTTTGTTTTCTCATGATTTGGTTGGGTCTAATTGTGTTGTTGTTGTTGTTGTCCTGGGGCTGTGTGGGATCTGTTTGTGTTTGTGAACAGAGCCCCAGGACCAGCTGACTTAGTCTCTCTCTATCTCTTTCTCTTCCTCTCTGTTTTAATCATAAACCAGATTTTCTACATTATTTTTCTGACATGAAATTGTTTAGTTCAAATCCAACCCTTGTATTCTAGGCACACTTCTGTACATGAAAATAAGGATCAGGCAATGTGTAGGCAAATTAAAAAAATGTCAAAAAGGAAAATAATGTGGCGTGGGGAGCGTTGTAATTCTACCTCATTTAGGGGGCGCGGTAGAAAAAGTTCAGCTCTGCTCTATTTTATGGAAATTGTACGCGGCCACCGTTGAGGAGCAGATGTTTGCTTGAAAATCTTCAGTTCATGAAACATAGTTCCACCTGTCATTAGTTCCAGGCAAGCACAACCCAAAAAAATGTGAGGAAAGCAAAATCATCACAGTGTCTGGTTTTCCAATTCTATATGATTTTGCATTGCTAGAATACAGAGACAAAATCATAAGGTCAATGGCACGGAGGAGGAGGATTGCAGAGATGTTGATGTTGATGGTGAATAAAGATATATTTGCAAAGCCACTATTTCCTTTACCCAAAGTACCAATCCATGTGCATGTAGGCCTATGTATTTTCCAGGAAGTGAGCTATAATCATCAATGCCATGACACCAGTATAATGAAAGAGCCATAAGCTATAATACGATAATCATAATGTTAAAATACCATAATCCAATTGGTAGCATATTACATGGGAAATTCATGCTTAGTTTATCATTTATAATGTTATAATGCACGTTACTGGTGATTTATATCCTTTGGTGGGCAAATTTCACAGTTTAATTTACTCAACACATTCACAAATGGTGGCTTTGATCACAGTTTTGAGGTTGAGGTTGCTTGATGTTCATAGCTAGCTAGCAGCACAAGCAAACACTGTGGTGCAAATTTCCCTTCACCCACCATCAATCTCTGCAATCCTCCTCCGTGCCATTGACCTTATGATTTTGTCTCTGTATTCTAGCAATGCAAAATCATCTAGAATTGGAAAACCAGACACTGTGATGATTTTGCTTTCCTCACATTTTTTAGGTTGTGCTTGCCTGGAACATTTGCAACTGCCAGGTCGCAGTTGTAAATGAGAACCTGTTCTCAACTGGCTTACCTGGTTAAATAAAGGTGAAAAAAAAAAAATAATAATGACAGGTGGAACTATGTTTCATGAACTGAAGATTTTCAAGCAAACATCTGCTCCTCAACGGTTGCCGAGTACAATTTCCATAAAATAGAGCAGAGCTGAACTTTTTCTTCCGCGCACCCTAACAAGGTTGGCACCGCTCACCATCCCACAACCCCCTGCGCATTGTTCCACGTGCTTCCGTTGAAAATGAATGGGGGCGGGACTTCGTCTGGCGAATTCGGAAGTGGTGGAAACCCTCAGTTTTACCTCAGTGGTTCCTCATGAGAAAAATGTGTTGTTAACAAAACGTTTTCTACGTTTCAAATTAATAGATGTTTAACCTAGTGCCTATATAAATACTTTTTTCAAAGCACACATAACATTTATACATTTCAAAATGTGCATTTACGAAAAACATCTAAAATCGCCCAATTTTGTATCTAGGTCATGTGAGGGGGTACATGAAGAGAAACGTTATTATTTCATATTTTGTTCAGGCAAAAAATGTAACAGGATCGTAAAAGAAGGACCATCCCCACATCTTGCATTTGATTGGTAACTCTGAGATTGGCAAATTCTAATGGTCATTGGTGTACAAATATTCATCCCGCCTAGTATGATATAAAGCAAGCATCTGGTTGGTTAGAAGTTCTGACTCCATAGTTATGATTGGATACGTTCATATTTCCTGAGTATCTAATTCCGCCTCTCAATACATTCACCAGTAGTAGACCTCCTTTCGTTATCTGTGAAACGAAAGAACCCACCGTAACGTTTTGGATCGTAAAGGGACAACAGTGGGTGCCTTGTTTGCAAAAGTATGGCTGTAACAACAGATCACATTCGTGACAAACTAATCAAGGAGATCGGAGCGATGCATGTGGTATGTATCATGTTTCCCCATTCTCCAATGAATGCAAACACACGTATGCTGCCCCCCCCCCCCCCCTCCCCAATGACGTTAGTGGGCTACGTTAGCCATATCTATGTTGGTCATTTTATATTTAACATTTACACTCCTCCTGGAGAGCTACTGGGTGTTCAAGCTTTGGCACACTCTAGCCTGATTCTACTAATCAATTGCTCACAGGTTAGTCGAGGTAATTTGTACATGTAGGTAGGGGTAAAGTGACTATGCATAGATAATAGCAGGTAGCAGCAGTGTAAAAACAAATTGAGGGGGGAGTCAATGTAAACAGTCTGGGTGGCCATTTGATAACTTGTTGAGCAGTCTTATGGCTTGGGGGTAGAAGCTGTTAAGGAGTCTTTTGGTCCTAGACTTGGCGCTCCGGTACCGCTTGCCTGTGCGGTAGCAGAGAGAACAGTCTATGACTAGGGTGACTGGAGTCTTTGCCAATTTTTGGCCTTTCCTCTGACACCGCCTGGTATAGAGGTCCTGGATGGCAGAAAGCTTGGCCCCAGTGATGTACTGGGCCGTACGCACTATATTCTGTAGCGCCCTACGGTCAGATGCTGAGCAGTTGCCATAGCAGGTGGTGACGCAACCGGTCAGGATGCTCTTGATGGTGCAGCTGTATAACTTTTTTGAGGATCTGGGGACCCATGCCAAATCTTTTCAGTTTCCTGAGGGGGAAAAGGCTTTGTCGTGCCCTCTTCACAACTGTCTTGGTGTGTTTGGACCATGATCGTTTGTAGATGTGTTTGGATTGGAGCAAAAGCGTGCACCCCCAGGGGCTGTGGTATGACCCCACCAATGACCTGTTCTACCGGCTTTGTTTTGACAGGAGGTCGAAGACACGTCCCCTAACCGATGTGCTGCCAGCTTTAAAGTTCTAATAGTGTCGACCCAGTTTGAGGGGAAACCACTGCTGGCGAGACACAGGTAGGCTAAGTGAAGTACACGGTGGGCAGGCAGAGCTGATATGGGTTATGACATACTCTTGTTTCTGATTTTTTGTTCGTCAGGATGGTGAACACCTGCCTGGCAGAAGAGCTGAAAGAGATCCACGCCTTTGAACAGAAGACGCTGACTCCAGAACAGTGGGAGAAACAGAAAGCACAGTGATGAAGACACACACTTTGACTTCCATATTCAGTCACTTCACCCCTTATTATTTGTAAATAAGAAACATATGCTCACACAATGTTGACCTCCACACCTGACATATTTCATTTAAGTCAATGATGCAAACTGAAATGAAATAGTAAATATGGTGACAATAAAAACAATAATGTTCAGACTTCCTTATTGGTTGAACGAGTGCACTAAAGAATGAACTTTCAGTTTTGGTTGTGGAGGTACGTGATTACCGACATTACAGGCTATACCAAGATGTCATTATGAATGGGACAACACATAGCGTGGAACAGACAGAAAGACTGTCACAAGAAATGTCAAGGATTGTAATCAGAGTAGATGGCAAATAATGTCTAACAAGCAAGGGGCTAGCACTGAGCGAACTGCTCTGGATACCAGGGTTGACCAAATCATTCAAGATCTTCCTGAAAAATACAAGAAGGTGAGCAGGTCAAAAATAAAATTGTATTACTTGAACGAATCATCACTGTGTTTGTTTGGTTGTAACAATGAATGACTATTCCTTGACTAGATTCAAGGAAATTGCTTTTCACACTGGAAAACACAAATGAAAATCCTTTCCAAGAAGTGTGAGATCAAGTGTAACTGAATAAAATGGACTGGCACAGCTTTGAATATTGATCATATGACTCTGTTGTACAAAGCACTAGAACAGAGAGTGTGCAAGTGCACTGGCTCTTCATGTGTAGTGAGTGAGCAGCAATTGATTTTGCATACCAAATTAAAAACCTACAGTCCTGCTCTGAACTGGAACATCAGTCAGACTCGCCAAAAGGGAATATAATAAATATTATCAGGTAGTTTTCCCCCGCAATTGAAATTGTATCAGCCAACTCTGGTCCTCCAGTTCCCCCAACAGTACATATTTTTGTCGTGGTCTCGGACACCTGATTCTACTTGCCAACTAATCGTCAAGCCCTTTGCAAGTGGAATCAGGTGTTTGCTACAACAGAAATGTGTGCTGTTGGGAGTACTGGTCTAGGCAGTGCTATGGCTTTTTTAAGGTCCGTATTCAAAATGTGTATCTGACCATAAACGTAACCAAATGGAAATGATTGCAGTTTGCATTTTCAAAATGCTCATAAGGCAGACCTGTTATTAAGCATTAGGCATTGCATTATCAGTGGGTGTTTGCTCATCAAGTGTATATTGTAGCGACCTTAACACCTAGCGACCTCGTCAAGGGGTTCGGACCTCTTGGCGTAACGGTAAAGGTAGGCTTGACAGTCACTGGACCTGGGTTTGAGTCCGGTCGGGGCTACCCCACGAATTTGCCACAATAGATTAATAAATTACTATGTAATTATTTGTAAACATTTAAACATCTCCCCCCTGTTCTAGCGCCCCCCAGCCTGCGCCCACATCCTCAGACGTCCGCTGGCCAGCCCAGCCACTTCGCCCCCAGTGCCCAGATCTCACTACTTGTGCTGTTCCTGCCGGTCCTGTGGGCTGGTAGCCACCCTGCTGACCTGTGGGACAGTGATCAACCCTCACAGCTCTGTTCTGGGCTGCCAGGTCTTCATGCCTGTTCCCATGCTACTGTCTCATCAAACACACGGCAGAAGGGTGCAAGTATCCTTTTTTTTAATGTATCTTGTGTGCCCACTCTTTGATCAGGAATTCTGCTACATTCTTAGAAAAAAAGGTGCTATCTAGAACCTAAGAGGGTTCTTCGGCTGTCCCCATAGGAGAACCCTTTGAAGAACCCTTTTTGGTTCCAGGTAGAACCCTTTGGCCCCTCCAGGGCCGAAGAACCCCTTTGGAACCCTTTTTTTCTAAGAGTGTACGTCTGTTTGAGGAAGGGTGAGGATTGCCCTATGGGTAAAAGTCTGGAGTATATACTGTATCTGGGATCTGTAAAGAAGCAAGGATGTGTTAACAGGGCTGAGGTTTGTAGCAGAACTCAGTTGACTGTGTGAGATTAGTCATGCCCTGGTTATCTTGGTTCAGTCATAGTAATTATAGGCTCCTTGGCTGTGTTCACACATGCAGCCAAATTATGATATTTTGCCAAATTATTGCTCTTTTGCCAATAATTGGAAAACAGATCAGAATTGAGCTTGCTGTGTAAATGCAGCCCTTGTGTCTCCCAAATGTGCAATGTGATATATGTTACTTGGGATTTAATAAACAGCTTTATTCTGTTGTCCTGCTTTGCATTGTGACTCACCTGCACAGTCATGGACTGTGAGGAGAGTAGGAGAGAGCAAAACCAGTTGGAGACAAAGACATGACCCCGTCTCTGAGTGTAAGGATTACTTCCAGCACTTTCCCCTTCATGGCCAGGCTACCATGCGGTAAATGGAAGGAACAGCATGGGAGGAGGAGAGATTGAGGAGACAGGGGGGATATGGTGCTCACATTGTATCCATTTCACTGACTACCACTCTCTTCTTCTGAGGGGGTTGAGACGTTTTAAGCCCCTACACTTAGGGGCCCAAAATGGAATATGATGCTCATGATACTCATTGTGGAAGGTGGAAAAGATGCCTTGAAAAGCCTCGTTTCCCATTTGGTTATATAGTATATAACACGTGTTGTTAGTTACACTGGGCTTGGTTTGAGTCAGGCTTTTGGTGCATCATAATGATAAGTAGAAGTAAACTTCAGTCCCTCAGTAACTCTGTTTGGACATGTTGGATTTAGACCACTAGGAGAAGAGTCCACTCACATGGTCACCCAGGTCTAATTCAGATCCTGACAGAAAATGAAGTAGGGTAATATAAACCGATACTATTCGGCCCAAAGAACTGGACATAAGTACTCCTGCTGTTAGTGGGCTCAGGCAGCCAATCAATAAGGAGGCTAGGTGTAGCATTAGAGATCAAAATAAGCCAGGGAGAGGACTAGTGTTATTAGGACTGCTTGAGTCATTTCACAACAGGGTCCAGCTATTACACACACACACACACACGCACGCACGCACGCACGCACGCACGCACGCACGCACGCACGCACGCACGCACGCACGCACGCACGCACGCACGCACGCACGCACGCACGCACGCACGCACGCACGCACGCACGCACGCACGCACGCACGCACGCACGCACGCACGCACGCACACACACACACACACACACACACACACACACACACATCCATCTGCTAGCCTTGACTTGATTGGGTGACACACACACACATCCATCTGCTAGCCTTGACTTGATTGGGTGAGAAGCAGAAGGAATTGGGTGAGCAACAGAGTACACCTCTCATTTAGGTTCCATTAGTGAAACTGGTTGTGTCTGTGTCAAACCCCCCGCCGTCTGTCTCAAAACGCAGCATAGATTATTTTATAAACACACAGATCATATGATTTTAACCAACATTTTTTATTTGCTAAAACCAGTAAAACTGACAACTGCTGACCAATAAGAACCATGTTGCTAAAGATGGTTCACAACAAAGAAAACACCCAACATCTCTGCGACATACAGGGCGTTCAGAAAGTATTCACACCCCTTGACTTTTTCCACATTTTGTTGTGTTACAGCCTGAATTTAAAATTGATTAAATTGTGATTTTTTTTTGTTACACACAATAGAATAGAAAATGAAAAGCTGAAATGTCTTGAGTCAATAAGTATTCAACCCTATTTGTTATGGCAAGATCTACTTAACAAGTCACATAATAAATTGCATGAACTCACTCTGTGTGCAATAATAGTGTTTTACATGATTTCTGAATGACTACCTCATCTCTGTACCCCACACGTACAATTATCTGTAAGGTCGAGCAGTGAATTTCAAACACAGATTCAACCACAAAGACTCGCAAAGAAGGGCACCTATTGGTAGAAGGGTACAAATAAAAAAGCAGTCATTGAATATCCCTTTGAGCATGGTGAAGTTATTAATTTTACTTTGGATGGTGTATCAATATACCCAGTCACTACAAAGATACAGGGGTCCTTCCTAACTCAGTTGCCGGAGAGGACGGAAACATCTCAGGGATTTCACCATGAGGCCAATGGTGACTTTAAAACAGTTACAGAGTTTAATGGTTGTGATAGGAGAAAACTGAGGATGGATCAACAACATTGTAGTTGCTCCACAATACTGACCTAAATGACAGAGTGAAAAGAAGGAAGCCTGTACAGAATACAAACCAAAACATGCATCCTGAATTTTAAAAAGAATAATGTGCAAATATTGTACAATCCAGGTGTGCAAAGCTCTTAGAGACTTACTCAGAAAGACTCACAGCTGTAATTGCTGCCAAAGGTAATTCTAACATGTATTGACTTAGGGGGTTGAATACTTATGTAATCATGTAATCATTTTATTTATATTTTTTACAAAATATTTCTTCCACTTTGACATTACAGAGTATTTTGTGTAGATCATTGACCAAACATTTTTTTACCCACCTTGTAACCCAACAAAATGTGGAAAAAGTCAAGGGGTGTGAATACTTTCTGAAGGCACTGTATAAACAACAATTGAAACAAAAATGTTTATCTTCTCATATCTTCAATAATTATATTCAATATATACATATCACATATAAACATACAAGCCCCACAGCTTACCCCCAATCATGATTAAATTGACCATGATCAAAGTGATGATTACCATATGGCCAAATGATAAGGACGTTGGGTTTTTGTAAACACAGTCTCTGTCTCTTGACCCTTGACCCTTCTGCACCATAGGGTGAATCTCAAAAGTCTTTCCTTGATTCTTCAACCTCCTTCTCAAAACTCACTGAAGGAGAAGAGGTTCCTCCCATTCCTCTCTATGGTATATCTCTTTGGTTCCTTCCCTCTGACCTTCTCCTCCAATGCGTTTTTAGAAGGTGGTCGAAGGAATAAAGGGAAACGCCCAATTCCTCCCTTTTACTCATGGCCGTCTTTGGCCGTGATATCTAACATGGTGTGCAGTTCCCGGGGTTCATATCCCAGCAGGCCTTGCAGGTTGCAGACGAAACGGTAGACGTAGCGCTTGCCAGACGTCTTGTGGATGATGTTCTTGTCGTAGTAGTAGCGCAGGCCTCGACTCAGCTTCTCGTAGTTCATCTTAGGCTTGTTCTTCCTCCGGCCCCATAGCTTGGCCACCTGGGATATCAACCCAGATATCAACACATTAAACTAGTATTATCAACCTATTATACAGTATATAGGCCAATCTAAAATTGGCTAATTGACCTTACTTCAGAATAACAACACTGTAACAACATAATAACATGTTTGCATATAATAGGCTACACCTCTTGCCTCATCAGGATCTGTCAGTTTAAACTCCCATCCATCCCCTGTCCAAATGATGAATGATTGACAGCTGCGGTCAGTGAGGAGATCCAATAGAAACTGCCACAGCTGAATGGGACCACTACCTGTTGAGACATATGGGGAGGGATTAAACAACAGCTGAATAGCGCCAGAGGAGATGGCTGCCGTTTTACGGGCTCCTAACCAATTGTGCTATTGTGTGTGTTTTTTTGCGTTATTTGTAACTTATTTTGTACATAATGTTTCTGACACCGTCTTTTATGACCGAAAATAGCTTCTGGATATCAGGAAAGCGATTACTCACCTCGTACTGGACAAAGATTTTTTCTTTAATGAGTCGACGCGAAGGATTTACTTCAGACACCCAACAAGGCCCAAATCCCTGTCATTCGCAGGAGAAAGAGACTGAAATATCGGGGACCTAGGTCGGGGTGCCTTGAAAGGATCCGACGGCGAGTGGGTAATAAGTAAGGCCTCTACCATCAGTCCTATTAGCCAACGTACAATCATTGGATAACAAAATAGACGAACTACGATCACAGATATCGTACCAACGGGACATTAAAAACTGTAATATCTTATGTTTCACCGAGTCGTGGCTGAACGACGACATGGACAACATACAGCTGGCGGGATATACGCTGCATCGGCAGGATAGAACGGCTGACTCCGGTAAGACAAGGGGTGGCAGTCTGTGTATATTTGTAAACAACAGCTGGTGCACAAAATCTAATATTAAGGAAGTCACAAGGCTTTGCTCGCCTGAGGTAGAGTATCTCTTGATAAGCTGTAGACCACACTATTTACAAAGAGAGTTTTCATCTATATTTTTCATAGCTGTCTATTTACCACCACAAACCGATGCTGGCACTAAGACCGCACACAATGAGCTGTGTAAGGCCATAAGCAAACAGGAAAACGCTCATCCAGAGGCGGCGCTCCTAGTGGCCGGGGACTTTAATGCAGGGAAACTTAAATCTGTTTTACCTAATTTCTACCAGCATGTTAAATGTGCAACCAGAGGAAAAAAAACTCTAGACCACCTTTACTCCACACACAGAGACGCATACAAAGCTCTCCCTCGCCCTCCATTTGGCAAATCTGACCATAATTATATCCTCCTGATTCCTGCTTAAAAGCAAAAACTAAAGCAGGAATTACCAGTGACTCGGTCAATAAAGAAGTGGTCAGATGACGCAGATGCTAAGCTACAGGACTGTTTTGCTATCACAGACTGGAATATGTTCCGGGATTCTTCCGATGGCATTGAGGAGTACACCACATCAGTCACTGGCTTCATCAATAAGTGCATCGATGATGTCGTCCCCACAGTGACCGTACGTACCCCAACCAGAAGCCATGGATTACAGGCAACATCTGCACTGAGCTAAAGATTAGCGCTGCCGCTTTCAAGGAGCGGGACTCTAACCCGGACGCTTATAAGAAATCCTGCTATGCCCTCTGACGAACCATCAAACAGGCAAAGCATCAATACATATCTAAGATTGAATCGCATTACACCTGCTGCGACGCTCGTCGGATGTGGCAGTATTACAGACTACAAAGGGAAGCACAGCCGCGAGCTGCCCAGTGACACGAGCCTACCAGACAAGCTCAATTACTTTTATGCTCGCTTCGAGGCAAGCAACACTGAAGCATGCATGAGAGCATCAGCTGTTCCGGACAACTGTGTGATCACGCTCTCTGTAGCCGATGTGAGTAAGACCTTTAAATAGGTCAACATTCACAAGGCCGCAGGGCCAGACAGATTACCAGGATGTGTATTCTGAGCATGCGCTGACCAACTTTCAAGTGTCTTCACTGACATTTTCAACCTGTCCCTGACTGAGTCTGTAATACTAACATGTTTCAAGCAGACCACCATAGTCCCTGTGCCCAAGAACACTAAAGTAACCTGCCTAAATGACTACAGACCCGTAGCACTCACGTCTGTAGCCATGAAGTGCTTTGAAAGGCTAGTCATGGCTCACATTAACACCATTATCCCAGAAACCCTAGACCCACTCCAATTTGCATACCGCCTCAACAGATCCACAGATGATGCAATCTCTATTGCACTCCACACTGCCCTTTCCCACCTGGACAAGAGGAACACCTACGTGAGAATGCTATTCATTGACTACAGCTCAGCATTCAACACCATAGTGCCCTCAAAGCTCATCACTAAGCTAAGGACCTTGGGACTAAACACCTCCATCTGCAACTGGATCCTGGACTTCCTGAAGGGCCGCCCCCAGGTGGTAAGGGTAGGTAACAAGACATCTGCCATGCTTATCCTCAACACGGGGGCCCCTCAGGGGTGCGTGCTCAGTCCCCTCCTGTACTCCCTGTTCACGCATGACTGCATGGCCAGGCATGACTCCAACACCATCATTAAGTTTGCCGACGACACAACAGTGGTAGGCCTGATCACCGACAACGATGAGACAGCCTATAGGGAGGAGGTCAGAGACCTGGCCGTGTGGTGCCAGGATAACCTCTCCCTCAACGTGATCAAGACAAAGGAGATGATTGTGGACTACAGGAAAAGGAGGACCGAGCACACCCCCATTCTCATCGATGGTTCTGTAGTGGAGCAGGTTGAGAGTTTCAAGTTCCTTGGTGTCTACATCACCAACAAACTATCATGGTCCAAACACACCAAGACAGTTGTGAAGAGGGCACGACAAAGCCTATTCCCCCTCAGGAGACTGAATAGATTTGGCATGGGTCCTCAGATCCTCAAAAGGTTCTACAGCTGCACCATCGAGAGCATCCTGACTGGTTGCATCACTGCCTGGTATGGCAACCGCTTGGCCTCCGACTGCAAGGCACTACAGAGGGTAGTGCGTACGGCCCAGTACATCACTGGGGCCAAGCTCCCTGCCATCCAGGACCTCTATACCAGGCGGTGTCAGAGGAAGGCCCTAAAAAGCACGGCAAGTGGTACCAGAGTGCCAAGTCTAGGCCCAAAAGGCTACTTAACAGCTTCTACCCCCAATCCATAAGACTCCTGAACAGCTAATCATGGCTACCCAGACTATTTGCATTGCCCCCCCACCCCCACCCCATCCCCCTCTTTTACGCTGCTGCTACTTCGTTTATTATTTATGCATAGTCACTTTAAGTCTACCCACATGTACATATTACCTCAATTACCTCAACTAACCGGTGCCCCCGCACATTGACTCTGTACCGGTACCCCCTGTATATAGACTCACTACTGTTATTTTACTGTTGCTCTTTAATTATTATTATTATTAAAACGTATCTATTTTTTACTCAATACTTATTTTTCTTAAAACTGCATTGTTGGTTAAGGGCTTGTAAGGTCTACACCTGTTGAATTTGGCGCATGTGACAAATACAATTTGATTTGATATGGGGAGGGATTAAACAACAGCTGAACGGGACCACTAATTGTTGAGACATTTAGGGAGGGATTAAACTGTATTGCCTGGATGCCCAGATTTTTCTACATTGAACAACGCTAGCGGCATTGTTTGCTTCGACAAGATCAAGACTAAGGAGTTGGCTAAAGCAGCACCTAGATTCTAGATCAACGGGTAATCAGAGAGATTCAGGTCACTTTCTTCATAAAGAACATCACTCACCAGTATAACCATCCAGAATGGCTGCAGGATCCACAGCTCTACCCAGATCAGTCTTGTCCCGTATAAACTTTATGAAGCTGCTGTGTGGGTGTGGCAAATTGAAGGGGTCCTCAGAGATGGACTCTTCCACCCCCTTGTCTAAACCCTGCATTGGTCTAGTCCAGGACAGGGAAGCGGTGCCGTCTGTGTCCTCATAACGCAGGGTCCCAACCTCCGAATCATAGTCTGAAGTTAAAGAGATTGAGACAATTGGTAGATGATAGGAATCTATTCCATCAATCTCTCTAACAGAAGGAGAGACACCTCCAAAGCCCTGGTCTAAAGCAATAATGCATTTCCAAAGGCTTATCAATTAAAATACATTCTGAATGTTAACCTTTTTCCCCTCCAATCCAATATTATGGTTTCCTACCTGTCCTGCCAAGGTATCTATGGTTTCCTACCTGTCCTACCAAGGTATCTATGGTTTCCTACCGGTCCTACCAAGGTATCTATGGTTTCCTACCTGTCCTACCAAGGTATCTATGGTTTCCTACCGGTCCTACCAAGGTATCTATGGTTTCCTACCTGTCCTGCCAAGGTATCTATGGTTTCCTACCTGTCCTACCAAGGTATCTATGGTTTCCTACCGGTCCTACCAAGGTATCTATGGTTTCCTACCTGTCCTACCAAGGTATCTATGGTTTCCTACCGGTCCTACCAAGGTATCTATGGTTTCCTACCTGTCCTGCCAAGGTCTCTATGGTTACCTACCTGTCTTACCAAGGTCTCTATGGTTACCGACCTGTCCTGCCAAGGTATCTATGGTTTCCTACCTGTCCTGCCAAGGTCTCTATGGTTTCCTACCTGTCCTGCCAAGGTATCTATGGTTTCCTACCTGTCCTGTCAAGGTCTCGGAGCAGAGGTCCTTCCTGTTTGACCCGGTGGTAGTCCTGATATCTCACAGTCACAGGGTCAAGGGTCAGAAGCTGTGGGGGTTCTGTTGGGAGATGGGAGAACTGACCGTGGTGATTTTGCTTGTCCATGAGCTGCACATGGTCCGCGTAACTGTCTGAGGAAGACAGAGCATAGTTGATATGTCAGTCACATATAATCTATGAGAGACACACAGACAATACACCTCTGACGGGATGTGTTTCTATACCAGAGAGAGAATTCAACGTGCAGAGGACTAGAGGGGAACCATGATCATATTCACAATCTGAATCACACACATAGATAGACACATGAAATAGGAATCTCTACTACCAATGTCATTGTTCAATGAATAAATACATACGCTGGTATGATAAAGCATCACTCCCCATTTACCTCTGCACATAGTTTCCAGATGTTCCCAGAGGATCTCTCCTGCTGTGCAGTCAGAGGTCAGGTCCAGGAAGGCCTCTCTGTCCATGGCACAGAGCTCACTCCCAGGCAGCCTTCTCAAATCCGGACCCAGGCTTTGGAGGCCGAACTCGGCCTGGCACCAGTCTAACCAGTGGTTCACCTCCCACTCTGACCACAGGTTAGGGTCTGGACACAAATTAGGAAATAAAATATTATATATTTGTATCTCTTTGCATCTTGAATTCCACACACATGCCAAAGCACACTGTGCAGTTTAGGCTGATACAGAGAGAGCAATTACAGGTAGGCTATACGACCGTTACAACAAAACTACAACTTCTATAATACCAAATGTAATTAATTGTATGTACAGTGCCTATTTTGTTGCATTACAACCTGTAATTTAAATTGATTTTTATTTGGATTTCATGTAATGGACATTCACACAAAATAGTCCAAATTGGTGAAGTGAAATGAAAAAAATACCTTGTTTCAAAAGATTCTAGAAAATAAATAACGGAAAAGTGGTGCGTGCATATGTATTCACCCCCTTTGCTATGAAGCCTCTAAATAAGATCTGGTGCAACCAATTACCTTCAGAAGTCACATAATTAGTTAAATAAAGTCCACCTGTGTGCAATCTAAGAGTCACATGATCTCAGTATATATACACCTGTTCTGAAAGGCCCCAGAGTCTGCAACACCACTAAGCAAGGGGCACCACCAAGCAAGCGGCACCATGAAGACCAAGGAGCTCTCCAAACAGGTCAGGGACAAAGTTGTGGAGAAGTACAGATCAGGGTTGGGTTATAAAGAAATATCCAAAACTTTGAACATCCCACGGAGCACCATTAAATCCATTATAAAAAAATGGAAAGAATATGGCACTACAACAAACCTGCCAAGAGAGGGCCGCCCACCAAAACTCACAGACCAGGCAAGGAGGGCATTAATCAGAGAGGCAACAAAGAGACCAAAGAAAACCCTGAAGGAGCTGCAAAGCTATCTGTCCATAGGACCACTTTAAGCCGTACACTCCACAGAGCTGGGCTTTACGGAAGAGTGGCCAGAAAGAAATAAGCAAACACGTTTGGTTTTCGCCAAAAGGCATGTGGGAGACTCCCCAAACATATGGAAGAAGGTACTCTGGTCAGATGAGACTAAAATGAGCTTTTTGGCCATCAAGAAAAACACTACGTCTGGCGCAAACCCAATACCTCTCATCACCCCGAGAACACCACCCCCACAGTGAAGCATGGTGGTGGTAGCATCATGCTGTGGGGATGTTTTTCATCGGCAGGGACTGGGAAACTGGTCAGAATTGAAGGAATGATGGATGGCGCTAAATACAGGGAAATTCTTGAGGGAAACCTATTTCAGTCTTCCAGAGATTTGAGATTGGGATGGAGGTTCACATTCCAGGAGGACAATGACCCTAAGCAAACTGCTAAAGCAACACTCCAGTGGTTTAAGGGGAAACATTTAAATGTCTTAAAATGGCCTAGTCAAAGCCCAGACCTCAATCCAATTGAGAATCTGTGGTATGACTTAAAGATTGCTGTACACCAGCGGAACCCATCCAACTTGAAGAGCTGAAGCAGTTTTGCCTTGAATAATGGGCAAAAATCCCAGTGGCTAGATGTGCCAAGCTTATAGAGACATACCCCAAGAGACTTGCATCTGTAATTGCTGCAAAAGGTGGCTCTATAAAGTATTGACTTTGGGGGGGTGAATAGTTATGCACGCTCAAGTTTTCAGTTTTTTTGTCTTATTTCTTGTTTGTTTCACACAAAAAAAATATTTTGCACCTTCAAAGTGGTAGGCATGTTGTGATACAAACCCCCCCCAAAAATCCATTTTAATTCCAGGTTGTAAGGCAACAAAATAGGAAAAATGCCAAGGGGGGTGAATACTTTCGCAAGCCACTGTATACCCCATATGGTACCTTGTGGGAAGTGCATGCGGTTCCTCTCCTGGGCGAAGCCAGCGAAGGTGGCCCTCATCGCCTGGCTCAGGACCTCCTTACTGGTGGGGGTGAGAGGAGGGACATCCAGGTGGTCCATCTCTACACCGGAAACACAGGAGCCAAGTCACGGAGTCAGACAATGGCAGGAGCATCCCAGAGACACAACGGATCAAGAGGACAGACTGAGAGCTGAGAGCTCGATAGCGGAGGTGAGCACACACAAATTAGCAGACATTTTCTACTCAAAATTACACCAGAGATTACAGTATAAAGTTGAGATAAAGTAGTGAAAATAATCAAACACAGGAATATGGTGAATGACAAATGGAGGGAAATACCGTAAGCACTCCAGTCCATCCTTAGGTCTTTGGAACGAGGGATCAGGTGGAAGAAAGTGATCCAGATGAGGGAGGAGAGGGGTTTTAATAAGACCAATAGGACGAGGAGGGAGGAGAGGGGTTTTAATAGGACCAATAGGACGAGGAGGGAGGGGACAGGCGGTGACGGATATGTGTCAATCATATGGGTGATGGAGGGGCGGGTAATGGGGACACTACCCAATAGGAGAGGAGAACTCCCAATTAGGTAACATGGAAAAGACACTGCAAAAGACATACAGGGAGGTTATCTAGAGAGATGATGCCACAAAAGGAGCCTTTACAACTGAGAAGGCCTCCTGTAGCTCAGTTGGTAGAGCCTGGCGCTTGCAACGCCAGGGTTGTGGGTTTCGATTCCCACAGGGGGGTCAGTATGAAAAATGTATGCACTCACTAACTGTAAGTCGCTCTGGATAAGAGCATCTGCTAAATGACTAAAATGTGATAGAGATAAGGAACTACCCTTTGTGTTTTAAGTTGATTGCATTTAACTAAGGCAAATACGACAGTATGTCATCAGGAACCGCTGAGATCATGGCAATTCAATTGGAAATATGAACACCAGCAGCAGCGTATCGGATCATTCTATATCAGCGGGGCATGGCATGAGGTAGCCACCGAAAGATGTGGCTGTAAGTGCATATCTGTGCAGGGGGTTTATTCATATAACAGAAACACTGGGATTATATCAGGTAGTGTATTGTAAGTAAGTTAAGATCTGAGTGTGTTCCCAGCGGGGACAGCCTTTAGAGCCATACACCCATTACCACGCCACTGTTGTGGCTGCCTTAATGCGACGAGGTTCTTCCATGAAGTGGGGCTAGCGAGCCACGATAGTGAGCAATTTAGTCACAAAAACAGTGGCACACTGTGTAAGACATCTGTACAAAATGACAGACATGGTTGGTGTTAAAGCAGCAATCAGCAGTTAAAACAATAACAAAGCGCGTCTCCCCGCCACTGTTTCGTTAACAGCTGAGGGATGGGGCTGGAGAAATCTAACCACTCTCAAATCCATAGAGCTATGGATGCAAGGACTGACGGTCCATGATATCAAAACTACAGGTTTAACCATGTTTCAATGGTATCCAGTGTTTGTTTACATTAACTTTGTTTACAAACATCGGAGTAAAACAAGATAACAATTTTGGATTTCGATGAGGTACGAAAATGTAACTATGCTCAAAAAAGTTATATTCTTCAAGAATCAAATGGGTACATATCATTAATTTATAAATGAATAAACATTTGTAGCGACTGACTGCAGATTTCCCCTTTAAGGCCTGGCCAAGTTTAATACATTTTCATCTTGAATGGTTTGGTAAAGACTGTCAGCCAGTGCCAAGGGGTCTGGACCATTATGGCAAAGGAGGTAGTGACTGAGCTTTCTCTGCTGTATCCACAAAGCTGTCCCCCCCCCTAAATCGCTACTCTAGCACTGTCCCTGTCTACTATGGGAACGCTGGTGGAACCGGAGTCCCCCACAGTTCCGGAATGTCTTTCCACACTGGCCGCAGACGTACGGCTTCTCCCCAGTGTGTATGCGAAAATGCCTGGTGAGCGCCCCCGAGTGGCGGAAGCGCATGGAGCACACTGAGCAGGTATAGGGTCTCTCTCCAGTGTGGATTCTCAGGTGAGTCTTCAGGTTCTCCAGACGGTTGAAATCCCGGTCACACTCACTGCAGTGGTAGGGGCTCTGGCCCGGGGGAAAGACCTGTCGCTTGGGGTGGTCCTGGGTGTGGTGTCTGCGGAGCTCGCTGGGTTGGTGGAAGCCCTGGCCACAGAGTTTGCAGATGTGGCTGAGGTGGGGGGTGGTGGGATTAGGGTTGGGGTTGGTCCTGATCTGGACTCCATAGAGCTGTGGTGGGGCAGCAGGGATGATGGGAGCTGCTGCCTCCCTTGGATGGAAGAGGTTGTTGGGGAACTGGGAGGAGAAGGCTGGAAGGGCACTGGCTGATGGGGCAGTCAGATGTGGAACCTCTGTGTTGACCATAGGAGGGTGAGCTGTGGAGAGTATACATCAAAAAATGATTTCATGTTTTATTATGCATGTTCCACATGCATACATTCTACATGCAGGCAAAGGTGTTACTCATTCTGATATAATCATTTTGAGCGATACTGACACATAATCGTTAGTATTACTCAGTAAGTGGTCAATCTTATGAAGTCTAGTGACATCTTGTGGGTGTTATAGTCAGTGGCTATTTGGAAGCTCTCTGCTATTATCTGGTACTTACACAGACTATGGCTGGTTCCAGGAAGCAGAGAGTCAGAGTCCAAAGGGTCCGGTTTCCACTCCTCTAACATCTTGGACTGAACCAGAGACAGACTATCAGGACCAAAGTCTTCTTTTACCACCGAGTCAAAACTGGAACCAGAGCTGGAGCCAGACCCAGAACCGTTCTCCTCCTTCACTCTAACCTGCGCCATCCCAAGGCTCTGGGAAACCGTGTGAAGCGGTGATGGGTCATTATCTCCAAACGTTATTTCTAGACCACTATGACTGATGCTTTCTACACTTGCCTTGTGGTCCAAACTGGAGGTCTCTTCCCTGGCGTCTGTAAAGAAAATTAAAATAAAAAGACATTCAGAACAATTGTTCTTATCTAGACAGGCTAAGACTGTATTTATTGTTATTGTCTATAGCTAGTCAGGATAACACTGTATTTCTCTAATATTTTATGTATGGCATTTCATTTGGCTTGATAAATAGGACTACAGGCTTACCTTTAAGCAGGTCGTGGTGAGGGATAGACTGTCCCCTTGAAGCTGGATGTAGGTCTTGCGAACACACCCGACCATCCTCGCTGATTTCACTGAAAGATCCATGGTCGTTCTGTCGTTCACTACTGATCTCGGCCTCCACAATTGCATATCCATATTCATCCAATGCATATGAGGACTTGATCTTTAATTCATTGTCCTTTGACTGCTTTTGAGTCTTTGCTAAGTTGTCGTTGTGGAAAGGACTTGTAGACAATTGTCCCGGCGGACTTGCATCTCTCGTTGTTCCCACACATTCACGCGCAGCACCCAACTCTTGCTCGGCTGTTTGCAAGCGTTGTTTGAGAGACTTGTTTTCCCGTAGGGTTTCGTGCATCTGATCGCGGACATCCCCAAGCGCTTGACCTACCAGTTTAGTGACTTCTAATACGGCAATTTCCACAGCCACTTCAAACGCACCGTGGATCGTCGCCGCCAGTTCGTCCTGGAAAGAGAGCGACACCTCTCCCTCTCCAGCGGTTTTCGAGGGGCGAGCTTGGGCTGACGTTGAAGTCTCCCCTTTGATCCCTGTGTTAGTTTTCGACTGAGGCTTCATGTTACTATAATAACCTTGCAGCTAGTCTGATTACAATAGTAAATATTGCGCAGTAATTCACTTTTACTACAAATAGTCCACGGAGGGCACTTGAGTTGTTACAATGTTATTACTGGCTACAATGTTGCAATGTGGTTGGCTACAATGTAGCAAGAAGAGAGTAACTACGTCTGAATCTTCCTTGCTTACCCAGCATCTGGATATATCAGCTGGACATTATATATTATAGAAAATCTTACACATTTCTACTGGCGAATGTTTACATTTGAGCTATGAAATTTGTACCGCGCTCTTCTTCCCCAGCGTCTTGCAAACAATGACTGTATAGCAAAGATGATCTATTATATTGACAAGATGGTTGACTGACTGCTCTAACAATGGAAATACATGTCCGCGGGCAGGAGGAGGCGAGATCAGGTGGGAACATTCTAGCCAATGAGAGGGCAGATACGCGTGTGACCAACAGGCACAACTCTCATATAAAAATTGTTTTCACAAAGTTGCCGGAATGTCACATGCATTACACTTAGGCTATATCAGTACACTCGTAACAACCTAAGCATTATGAAACTTCTATTTGATCAAATAATAAGGTTCTCCTATCAAAATAGTATTGACCAAATTCGCAACTCTCTCATTGCCCCCCATACAAAAACTCCTCACTCGGTTTAACTCTCATTTTCGCCAAGACAGATCTTTGGCGGAGTCGACCATCTCGCTTTGCCTCTTCCTCTCGGCTGTATATGCAAACAACATTAACGAGTTACTTCCGGGTCACGGATTTTTTTTGAAGATTTCTCAAATAAAAGTCCTTCATGTAATAGAAGAAAAGTTTTAACCTGTATTTATTCATGATAAATGACGGTAATTTGTGGTGTATACGTAGGGGGGGCTTTTACTTAGAAAAATGTATAATTTCGTGAACCGGAAAATCTTTTTTATTGGTTGCCGACGAGAAAGCGTGAGCAGCACTAAACTGGAACACTGCGCAGGAGTCAAACCGTTTACTAGTGTAGCAGTAGCTAGTTGTGGAAGAACACCTAGCTATATTGTTTGCTCGTAGTTGTAACCAGTACAAAAATGCTACGGAAAAAATCAACCAGCAGGGAAAAGAAAAGGAAAAGTTCACATTCGGAAGAGCAGCATGTCCACAGAAGACGCAGGTGTACAGAATCTAGCGTGGAGGTGAGAAAAACATTGAACACTCATCCATGGCAAAGATGGCTAGCTACGTTGGCTACTTTGTACATTTTGCATCCCCTGTCCCAAACATTTGCGTCTTACACAGCAGATGTGTATCGATACATCTACCCAGCAGATATCTATGTTTAAAAAAAAAAATCATATTCCAAATGCCTGTATCGCAAGAATCACTTTAATTTGATTTTTTATTCATGTATTTTTTGGTCTCCTCGCCTTCGCTCCTTCTGTTCTGTGTGCAGTTTCTCATTTACACACACACACCAAGGCGCCACTCGCAACAACAAAGTTGAGATCACTTCTTCCTCTCTGTCCAGCGGTTTCAACTTACTATTTGCATTTGAGGTTTGGTCTAACATAATCGGTCATATCGACACCGAAACATTATTTTAAAACATTATTTTACTGTAATAGAGAAGTTAAACTTTCTAACGATACCCTTTCTATGTCTCTCCTCAAATTGCACGCAGAACAGACGATTAAAACGAGTATCAATAAACATTGATTGAGGTAAATGAATGCTCAGGTTGTCACACGCGGCATTGCGGTACCACGTACCGCTAGCAGCATTTTAGCCAAAGACTGTTATACTAGTTGTCTTTTGTTTTATAAATGTGCAACAAACATAAAACACAATTATATAAGGAATTGGCAACTTGTTCTCATCCTGAGAAATAAGGTAGGCCACTTGATTACAACATCTGAACAAAGTGGACAGGCTAGCATGCTTTTCAAACAGCTGGAGACAGACAGAAGGGTGTGTTCATAACAATTTAACTGTTCTGCCTTGTTAGCTAGCGAATGGATCCAAGTTGGCTGAACTTGAAATATAAAGATTAGCTGGCTACTCACTAGCACGTGGGCTTGTCCTTGAGACTGTTAATTTTTTATAATGCCTATTACAAGAAGTTGGTCATTATTGACGCCAGGACAACGGAGTCACTGACCACCTTCCGGAGACACTTGAAACCCCACCTCTTTAAGGAATACCTGGAATAGTATAAAAGTAATCCTTCTACCCCCCACCTGCCCCACCCCCACAAAAACAAACAAAAAAATACATATATATATTTTTAAATGCATAAAAACGATGATAAAAAATACATAAAAGTAAAAAGACACAAAGACACGGCGGTTGGAACCAAAAATCACCAATTTGGACTCCAGACCAAAAGACACATTTCCACCGGTCTAATGTCCTACAGACCCCCGTGTTCGATTCCAGGCTGTATCACAACCGGCCGTGATTGGGAGTCCCATAGGGCGGCGCACAATTGGCCCAGCGTCGTCCGGGTTTGGCCGGTGTAGGCCGTCATTGTAAATAAGAATTTGTTCTTAACTGACTTGCCCAGTTAAATAAAGGTTAAATAAAATAAAAATCACATATTCCCCTCTGAACAGTTGATGTTGAGATGTCTGTTACTTGAACTCTGTGAAGCATTTATTTGGGCTTCAATTTCTGAGGCTGGTAACTAATGAACTTATCCTCTGCAGCATAGGGAACTCTGGGTCTTCCATTCCTGTGGCGGTCCTCATGAGAGCCAGTTTCATCATAGCGCTTAAGGGTTTTGCGACTGCACTTGAAGAAACTTTCAAAGTTCTTGAAATGTTCCGTATTGACTGACCTCATTACATTTCATTTACATTTTTGTCATTTAGCAGACGCTCTTATCCAGAGCGACTTACAAATTGGTGCATTCACCTTATGTCTTAAAGTAATGATGGACTGTCGTTTCTCTTTGCTTATTTGAGCGGTTCTTGCCATAATATGGACTTGGTCTTTTACCAAATAGGGCTATCTTCTGTATACCTTGTCACAACACAACTGATTAACACATTAAGAAGGAAAGAAATTCCACAAATTAACTTTTAAGAAGGCACACCTGTTAATTGAAATGCATTCCAGTTTACTACCTCATGAAGCTGGTTGAGAGAATGCCAAGAGTGTGCAAAGCTGTCATCAAGGCAAAGGGTGGCTATTTGAAGAATCTCAAATATAAAATATATTTTGATTTGTTTAACACTTTTTTGGTTACTACATGATTCCATATGTGTTATTTAATAGTTTTGATGTCTTCACTATTATTCTACAATGTAGAAAACTAAAGAAAAACCCTTGAATGAGTAGGTGTCTCCAAACCTTTGACTGGATAGATATATATATTAGGGAAATTCCCATACATTTGAAAAAAATCTAGATATGATTTGTAGGCTATATTGCCCATCCCTACACGCAGGTTAAAATACCAAAACAAACTGTGAATCAATGATATTCATTTGGGGGAAGGTGGAAACATTTATGGATATTTAGATTGCTAGCTAGTTTGTCCTGGGAGATGAACATTCAGTTGTTATTTGACCTTTAAATGTATATGGTCCTTTTCTTTTGCTGCATCTTTATAGAATTTGAACCCGGAATCATACAAAATCTTGTCTTTCTCTACTCTGACGATTTAATCCACTGGAAACCAAGTTAGTTTGTTTTTAGTACCCCCCTTCCCCCCCTCCAACTTGGTCGGTCTGTTCATGGTGTAAGAGTTATATTTGTAGGGACACAGACCAATGCATTTTGAACTTCAGTGGTTGCATGCGTTCTGCCTTTGACAAAATGTCGTCCCTCATTGACTTGGTTACTCCTGGTGGAAAAAACCATACTGCTATACGACTCCTTGAAACAGGACTCCAAGGACGAGCAGGCAGATCTGGAGTTGGATGAGCCTGGCAGCGACGTCGAGGAGGGAGGACTGGACCTTAGTGTGCCATTTCAACCCATCAGTGCCTATGTTGCAGACAGGCACGAGATGCTAGATCAGTGCTTTCACGTGCTTGGGGAGAGCAAGCTGCAGAAGATGCTGCCTGATGAACTCAAGGTGAGTGTGTAGTGGATTCAGGGGTAGTCTGAACGGGACTGGAACCAGGAGTGTTAGCTGTGCAAAGTGCCTAGGTCTAACCTCATTCCTAACCCAATCATGCGTTTGGTCAGCACATCTGTTCCATGCTACTTACTGTAAAGATTGGATATGTGTTTTGATGTATTGCGAACAAAGCTATCAGTTAATAGTATAGTCACACAGTGCAATTAGTCATGTCTTAGTTATTTCTCTGTTTTTCATTTGGTGTTGTGGGCATTTGCCAGTTATTAATTTGTGATGCATTGATAGGTTGAAAGTATAGACGGACCGTGGTCTCCTCCCTCCTCCCCTCTCTCTCTCTCTCTCTTGTTTTCCACATTGTTCTCTCCTGTTTTGGTTTTACGAAGCTGTAGTCTGGATAAAATGTATTTTTTTTTTTTTTTACAGAACTGTAGTCTGGATGAAATCAAGACGTTGTGTTGGGAACAGCTGGAGCAGCTGTCTCAAAGCCACCTCCTTCAGATACTGGAGGGTAAGCCCATGGGTCTGTTCAGCATCACAGGGTGTTGCTCTACTGCTAACCCTGCTGTCTGTCATTTCTCTTGGTCTGCTGGGTGGTGTTCAGAAGACACAAAACGGGGAAGTAGGCTATTGCCTGAACTATTCCAACAAGAATACTCATACATTTTTTTTTATTTTTTAAATGTTTTGCTACGTTTTTGCCATTCTGAACACGACCCATGTTCACCTCCATTAATCTGATGGCGTGTTTGGTTGGTGTCCCTCAAAGGTGAAGAGCTGACTGGTTCATCTGGAGAAGAAGGGGATAAAAAAAATGCTGCCACCGATAGCCAGTGAGTAGAACCTGCATTTTTAAAGCAGCGTAGTACTGCTTCTTACCTTTTATCATCATTTTTGCTATTGTCGTCAACCTGCGAGCGAGAAACCAATTGTAAGACATGGCGTTGTACACACACAACAGCCAAACTGCTTTATTTGCTGTAAAAAGCTAATTTGCGTTCTACAAACAATGTTTTTACTCTTGTGGATTTCTATTGCTTGGCTACTACTGCTATTTAGGCTTGGTTGACATTTTGGCGCTAATTGCAGGTAGAAATGTAAACATTTGTCATAAAGTGATTTAATTCATTGTATCTGATTTGATTGGTCAATGTTAGTCCGGAAGTGATTAAACTGAAAGTGTTTTGTTTTTTCTGTGAAGGCAGGATAATAATGTGGATTCCACGTCGTCCCTCAAAGAGAGTGTTGAAGTGGAGGATATCAAGCAAGGTACTGGTAGCTAATATATAGGCATAGTCTAAAAGGGCCCACACTTCGCTCTCATGTCAGATTTAAAGGAAAGTGCATGCACTTACGATGCATCAAGGAACATTTTTTGCTCTACTTAAAGTGCATTATCTTGACTGCTGACATGCTTAATTTTTTTGGGGGGGTAGTATTAACCCTTTAAACACATGGGAATTGGCCTCTATGGGAATGTTTCTTACAGAAGAAATATGAAAAGTATATGCATAACCATGGTAGCAATTAAAAGGGAACAGTTTGGCGATCATGGGAAAATTATTAGACTAAAAGTTGAGGACACAACAGTTCACCTGACAAGACTGAATCCAAACATTACACTGTTGAATTTATGTGCATTTTACATTTACTGTACTTTTCTCCAAATTTATTGATCACGAAATCTGAAAATATTCTGGATACATTCAGTAACGTGATAAGACTATTCCTGGAAAATGTGGGGTAGGTGCAACATAAGACAAACACAATGACAAGGGTTTGAGTGAGAAGACTAACTGGTGTCTCCAAGTGGCCACACATTGCTCCAAAGTGTGCACAGTTCTTTACATTTTAGTCATTTAGCAGACGCTCTTATCCAGAGCGACTTACAGGAGCAATTAGGGTTAAGTGCCTTGCTCAAGGGCACATCGACAGATTTTTCACCTAGTCGGCTCGGGGATTAGAACCAGCGACCTTTCGGTTACTGGCACAACGCTCTTAACCACTAAGCTACCTGCCGTCCTTAAGCAATTTCAATGCACAAAGAACAGTCTTCAACTATAAGGTGCTTTTTCGAGCTCCTAGCTGGGCCGTTGAGGAACTAGAGCAAGGTTCTTCAATTCCGGTCCTGGAGGGCCGAAACACCTCTGTTTTTCATCCTCTCCTTCTAATCAGGGGCTAATTCAGACCTGGGACACCAGGTGAGTGCAATTAACTACCAGGCAGAAATAAAAAAACAGAAGTGTTTCGGCCCTCCAGGACCGGAATTGAAGAACCCTGAACTAGAGCAAGCAGACTTGTAGTTATTTAGTTTGGAACAAAGCCCCTGGATTCCCGACATCATACAATTTACTGTTTGCACAATCCAAAAATGGTCCTTTTTATAAATCGCAATCTGGATCAGGTGGGCGTGATTTGAAAGTTGTTCTATTGCCAACATGACTACCGAAGTTATAAAATACAATCTTACAGTGTTAGGCTTTCACAAGGCAATTCAGGGAAACGGATTGTGATTTTTGGAGCGGCAAATCTTCTTCACAATAAAAAAACAGGCCCATTCTGTTCAGGACAACCCAGGGTATGACGACACATAATCTTGTAACTGTACATCAAACATAGCTTTCATGAACGTTGACACTGTATATGACATGAGTTTTATAATTCGTAAATTGTGAAGTGCACATTTGGACTCACGGGTGTTTGGCTTGCTTGTATGACGTCAAAGCGGTATTTATTATAATCAACGTATCATCTTTCAAAATACATTGAGTCCTCTTAATGTACAGCATTTCCCCTCACTCAGACAACAAACATTTTTCGAAAATTGCCCAATCAGCAGAAGGGATTGGGGACAACTTGTTGTGCTGAAGTTCAGAACGGCTGTCAGTCAAAACCCCCTACAGAGCTGTGAAGCAGAGACCCTGAGGTCTGACGTCTTATATAGCATGTTACTCTACAGCCAGTGTTTTATCAGTGTCCAAATCTGCCATTTCCAACCTGTATACGGGTACGAGTGTAAAGGGTTAACAGTAGATTAAAGCGCAAGACTAAATAAACCTTTGCTCACCAGAATGTCATAAATGATTAGAATGAATGCTTCAATCTAGTTGACGCCGGTAAAGTTTTCTGTCGTCTCTGCAGGGGTGGTAGATGATGAGTATGACGAACAGATTCCTTTTGACCCAAGCTGATTCCTGTCACTTTATCTGCAGAAGGTGGTGTCTCGGAGGAGAGCGACGTCCTTAGCATCAACGCCGACACCTACGACAGTGACATCGAGGGACACAAAGACGAGCCGTCCGAAAAAACAGAGGAAGCCGCCGGGACCATGGACGTAGTTGCCGGGGCAACATCTGACCCCGGCCCCTCCGCAACCCCAGCCCCTGCCGATGGGAAACCAGTTGCGGACAAACCCCCCGAACCCAAGAAGGAACTCCAGAAGGACATAGACAAAAGCGTTAGCGAGATCCTAGCCTTAGCATCGACGCCTAACCAGGAAGAGATCCTAGCTTTAGCATCGACGCCTAACCAGGAAGAGATCCTAGCCTTAGCATCGACACCTAACCAGGAAGAGATCCTAGCCTTAGCATCGACACCTAACCAAGAAGATACTAAAAAACTGATGGCGCTGCCGCTAGCCGCTGCTCCAGAGGCCCCCTTGTTGGTTACGAGGTTACCCGCTCAGAGTGCACCCGTCCCTGGCCTAGCTCCTGCACCAAGCCAGCCCTCAGCACAGCAGCTGGAGCTTCTGGAGCTAGAGATGAGAGCCAGGGCCATTAAGGCCCTAATGAAAGCGAACGATGTGAAGAAACAGATGTTTTAGACGTTTTCAAAATAATTTAATTTTCCCGAAAAGGAGCCGTATGATTCACTTGTTGTTGTTGTTCTTTGAATTTTAGGAAGGATTGTATCGAGTAAAGTTTTTTCTTCTACTTTTTGTATGTATTTATTTCAGAAAACAACCTGTTCAGTGGGAAACTATGGCCCGAGCCGTGAGAATAGGGAGCAGCTGCACCCCCCCCCCCCCCCCCACTTTCAAAATAGGAACGCAAACTTACACTGAGTGTTCAAAACATTTGGAACATTAGGGCTTTTGCCCTCAGAACAACCTCAATTCGTCGAGGCATGGACATTTACAAGGGGTCGAAAGCGTTCCACAGGGATGCTGGCCCATGTTGACTCCAATGCACAATCTGTCTCAATTGTCTAAAGGCTTAAAAAATCCTAATTTAACCTGTCTCCTCCCCTTCATCTAAACTGATTGAAGTGGATTTAACAAGTGACATCAGTAAGGGATCATAGCTTTCCCCTGGATTCACCTGGGGCCTCATTTCTAACCATTGCTTACATTTCACACTAAATATCTTCTTGGGCCAGACTGCACACTTATAAAAATATTGAGATTTATCAACTTTGCTCACGCCATACATAAACATGTTTCCGTTATAAATCAGACCCGTCCTGAAACTCTGCATGCGTGAGCGAGCATTAAAACTCCCGCCTGAAACTATGCACTCACCTTTTATATTGCCCTTATTTGCTATACACTTTGGAAGTATTCGAATTAGGCCGAGGCAGTTTTCTGAAGGAAATAGCAGTAAGCGAACTTGACCAAATGTCTTTTGTAGGTGATGCCAGAACTTTAAACTTGTGCAGTGACGTTTGCTGTAGGCCTAAGCTATCTGACAGACGGAAAACATTTTATGAAAGACAACAACTGCAAATTGCTGTGGACCTGTAAACAGACCGTTAGATTTGAATAGGGCCTAATGTTTTGCATTGACTTGTTCTCTAACCTACGCTGCTACGCTGGCCGAAATCTGATACATTGTCTACTTACAGTGATAGCCATACAGACTTCAAAGCAAAAATATCAACTCTCAGTTCACCTGTTAAATGCTACTGTAGGCTACGGAACACGTTTTCCTTTCTGATGCATAGAGCAAAATACTTGAAATAATAGCCTATCTAATAGGCCCAATTTAAATGAGAGATGCGCATGGTAATTTGTTGTAGGCTGTGGGTACTTCTGGAAGATGAACCCATCATGGCCAGAAAAGGTGAAGTGTATTCTTCAATGGTTATGAAAATATGGATTATGTGTATAAATTCAGTATTGTTTACTCGAGAAATGAGAAATTACAGTATTCAGACGTAACCTGCAACAGTCTGTTCCACTGTTAATAAACTGCGCTCCGGATGTGATGGCATAGAGCAACATTCTTGAAATGGCTTCTCTATTTACTACTGTGAGGTGGGTCCAATTAAACAAGAGCTGGGACGAATGGTGTCCTTGTTGTAGGCCCATGCTACCTCGTGAGTATGAAACCATCACACAAAAGGTGAGGAATTTATTATGCGATGATCGTGGAAATTATATAAAAAAATAATAGGAAATAAATGCCTATTTCTAATTGTTTTGAAATGCACTAATGGCAAATGATTGCATCTTGTTATTAACTGATTTATTGTTATGAATAAACCTGTCCATCATATCCCCCATTTGCACAAAATACTGATCTACTTACAGTGGGGGGAAAAAAGTATTTAGTCAGCCACCAATTGTGCAAGTTCTCCCACTTAAAAAGATGAGAGGCCTGTAATTTTCATCATAGGTACACGTCAACTATGACAGACAAAATGAGAAAAAAAAATCCAGAAAATCACATTGTAGGATTTTTAATGAATTTATTTGCAAATTATGGTGGAAAATAAGTATTTGGTCACCTACAAACAAGCAAGATTTCTGGCTCTCACATACCTGTAACTTCTTCTTTAAGAGGCTCCTCTGTCCTCCACTCGTTACCTGTATTAATGGCACCTGTTTGAACTTGTTATCAGTATAAAAGACACCTGTCCACAACCTCAAACAGTCACACTCCAAACTCCACTATGGCCAAGACCAAAGAGCTGTCAAAGAACACCAGAAACAAAATTGTAGACCTGGACCAGGCTGGGAAGACTGAATCTGCAATAGGTAAGCAGCTTGGTTTGAAGAAATCAACTGTGGGAGCAATTATTAGGAAATGGAAGACATACAAGACCACTGATAATCTCCCTCGATCTGGGGCTCCACGCAAGATCTCACCCCGTGGGGTCAAAATGATCACAAGAACGGTGAGCAAAAATCCCAGAACCACACGGGGGGACCTAGTGAATGACCTGCAGAGAGCTGGGACCAAAGTAACAAAGCCTACCATCAGTAACACACTATGCCGCCAGGGACTCAAATCCTGCAGTGCCAGACCTGTCCCCCTGCTTAAGCCAGTACATGTCCAGGCCCGTCTGAAGTTTGCTAGAGTGCATTTGGATGATCCAGAAGAGGATTGGGAGAATGTCATATGGTCAGATGAAACCAAAATAGAACTTTTTGGTAAAAACTCAACTCGTCGTGTTTGGAGGACAAAGAATGCTGAGTTGCATCCAAAGAACACCATACCTACTGTGAAGCATGGGGGTGGAAACATCATGCTTTGGGGCTGTTTTTCTGCAAAGGGACCAGGACGACTGATCCGTGTAAAGGAAAGAATGAATGGGGCCATATATCGTGAGATTTTGAGTGAAAACCTCCTTCCATCAGCAAGGGCATTGAAGATGAAACGTGGCTGGGTCTTTCAGCATGACAATGATCCCAAACACACCGCCCAGGCAACGAAGGAGTGGCTTCGTAAGAAGCATTTCAAGGTCCTGGAGTGGCCTAGCCAGTCTCCAGATCTCAACCCCATAGAAAATCTTTGGAGGGAGTTGAAAGTCCGTGTTGCCCAGCGACAGCCCCAAAACATCACTGCTCTAGAGGAGATCTGCATGGAGGAATGGGCCAAAATACCAGCAACAGTGTGTGAAGACTTACAGAAAACGTTTGACCTGTGTCATTGCCAACAAAGGGTATATAACAAAGTATTGAGAAACTTTTGTTATTGACCAAATACTTATTTTCCACCATAATTTGCAAATAAATTCATTAAAAATCCTACAATGTGATTTTCTGGATTTTTTTTTCTCATTTTGTCTGTCATAGTTGACGTGTACCTATGATGAAAATTACAGGCCTCTCTCATCTTTTTAAGTGCGAGAACTTGCACAATTGGTGGCTGACTAAATACTTTTTTCCCCCACTGTACATACAGGAAGTATACATACAGGAAGTATACATACAAGAACAACACACACAATCAAGACATCTTTGTTTTTTATTTTGTATTAATTTGAGAAAATGTGAATAATTATCCTTTCACTTTGGAAATGTGGAAATGGTTGTTTTAGATCTGTAGGAAAACAGTCCAATTGAATCCCTTTTCAGATGTAAATACAAGGCAGCAAAATGTGCCAACTGTGCAGGGGGGTGAAGACTTTCACTAGGTACTGTAATGGACAAAAACCTAATGCGATGTTTCAAACTTGAAGATAAAATCAAACTTATTTTATCATCTGTTCTGTGCTCACTTATGACACTGCAGTAGAAACTGGAGTAGAATATGTTTACTTTGAGACGGTACAGAAGGTTTCCAAAGAGAGAAGTAAGTAATTTAACATGTGTGATGGGTACAGTCGCACAAAGGGGAGCTTTATTATGAAAGTGAAATATTTGTTGTGTTTTTGGGACTGTTTGAAACCAGAAAGGCAGTGTTGTAGACAATTCTCCATGTGTTTCCCTTTTGTCACACTAGATGGCAGACTTAGACTATCATACGTGGTCATTTCCTTGTTGGGCTCCATGGTGTCTGTCTCTGTTGCTGTTATCTATCCTCTCCTGCCCTTTATCTGCACTGATTTGACAATACTTGATAGATTAAAAGGCTCATTATCAGGCTGGCCATCCCCTGGTCAGTTCCCCTGGTCAGTTCTCATTATCAGACTGGCTTTCCCCTGGTCAGTTCCCCTGGTCAGTTCTCATTATCGGGTTGGCGTTCCCCTGGTCAGTTCTCATTATCAGGCTGGCTTTCCCCTGGTCAGTTTCCCTGGTCAGTTCTCATTATCAGGCTGGCTTTCCCCTGGTCAGTTCTCATTATCAGGCTGGCTTTCCCCTGGTCAGTTTCCCTGGTCAGTTCTCAGTATCAGGTTGGCTTTCCCCTGGTCAGTTTCCCTGGTCAGTTCTCAGTATCAGGCTGGCTTTCCCCTGGTCAGTTTCCCTGGTCAGTTCTCAGTATCAGGTTGGCTTTCCCCTGGTCATTTCCCCTGGTCAGTTCTCATTATCAGGCTGGCTTTCCCCTGGTCAGTTCCCCTGGTCAGTTCTCATTATCAGGCTGGCTTTCCCCTGGTCAGTTCTCATTATCAGGCTGGCTTTCCCCTGGTCATTTCCCCTGGTCAGTTCTCATTATCAGGCTGGCTTTCCCCTGGTCAGTTCCCCTGGTCAGTTCTCATTATCAGGCTGGCTTTCCCCTGGTCAGTTCTATCAGCTCATTGCAATGAAGGACAGGAGGCGATGGTGTGTGTGTGTGTGTCTATAAATATATAGACTTTTTTTTTTACATAAAAGAGAAATAGCCACTCTTGTTCAAATCTGTAAAACTCATCCTTACTTCCACCCCTTCTTGAGCCTATCACTGATCTGTATGTTATTGGGTAGGTGAAAGCCAGGTTTCAAAACTATTGCTGTCACCTACCTAACCATGTCAACAAAATGATTATTTAGAGGGAGGTCAAGTTTGCATTACAGGTAGCAGTAGAGTCCAGTATTAGGTCTCAACACTGGCACATTGTCCAGGCAGATTATGGAGCCAAACCAGCAGCATTTACTTGAAAATAGCATTTATTTATCATCAATGAAAACTTGTATATATTCAGCGATCACGTTTTAAGTTGCCAACTGTCAATATAAATAAA